CCTACAGAACCACAAGAGATCCTCAGAATTTTACCCATCTTTAATCAGAAAACCAAGCTCCGATCCTGTGAATTAAGATGTTATGAAACCAACAGAAAATAATAGGAATGCGGAGGTGCTGAAGAGCGTGTGGAAATAACACCTAAAAAACCCCAATTTTCTTTTCTAACCTATCTTCACTTTTCAACATTCTCTCCCACGTACGGTGATGAATTAAGACAAGCAATGAAGGGAAGGGAATTTTTCCAGTTACAGGTCACTGCATTACAATAGCTTTGGAAATAAAGATTTTTCCCACCAGTACATACAAGATGAGATTTTTAAAGCGGTGGCTTACCCTAGGATTCAGTTGTTAACGATTTCTGTCTAGAAACTATCAGAGAATTATCCTGTGCAATTATCTTAAGTTGGGCTCTAAACCACCAGATAGCAACAAACCTCTATTCCGGACACTAAGCAGCAATTTATTCCTGATCTCGAAAAAGCCAGGCTTTCATGAAGGACATGGAAGCAAGTTATTACCTCCCTCTCAGCCATCCCTAATATGTTTTATCTTTATTCTTTACAATCCCAGACAGCAAAGGGGCCAAGAGCCGTCAGGATCTCTGATGCCCCACGGTTATTGTCCCAGTTGTTTCTTCTGGTTCCAGCTGAATGATAGTGGGAGCTGTTCCGCTTCTGAGCAAAGGGGGAAAGGAGGAGCTGCAAATTCTTGGGTTTTAGGTTAGAGTAGAGTGAGAGATCTTAAAAGTTGCTTGCCTCACAACTTACAACTCTTTTCATATTTAATGGCTTTAAAAGATTAGGGTGAATAAATTCTAATGATTTGAGGGTTTACACTATTGTAGCGCAAATAAAGAAGTCAGGCTAGTAATAACTTGTCTCTGTGCCCACACAATCATTTTACTTCAGAATGCCGTGAAAATACTTTGAACAGATTTCTGTCAAGGCACTTACCTGTGTTCAGGATAATAGGCTTGCCTAGTGTTCAGGATTCAATCATGTTTTCCTTGATATAGGACGTCATCTTTTAAGGGATGAGGACATAGGCAATTAGCTGAAAACTCTAATGAAATTTCTGCTGCAGACACCTTCCTTGCTACTCCACTTAATTCTACATGCTGATAGTGGGAAAACAAAATGAAGAATGCTGATCTATGAATCACTCAAACACTGTCTTTTCAGGCACAGCTGGTGCTTCAGAGATCAGGATACCTGTGAATTTCAGTTTACATTTGCCAACATACAGAGTGGGTTTCGTCTAAGCAGCAACAAAGCAAGATTGTAGAAAAAAAAAAAAATCAGATGCAGTGTGAGAATAAACTATCTACAAATGGGACAAAGAGAATCATCAGAGAGGGAAAAATAATAGCGAACAGGCCAGATCCTCTGGACTACCCTTATGGCTTTGTGCCATCACATTAGTATAAGGAAAGCCAGCTACGGGAGGGGAATCCTGTAACAGCATAAAGCTACTGTAGAGACTCATGCCATTCTGTGCCCCTGCCTCAGCTCAGGGTGGAGGACAAGATTGGGAAAGAGAGGGCCTGCTGCTGAGAGCTGCTTGCTATCTGCTCTCCGAACAGCCCCACGGGGCCCGAGACTCATCAAATACGCCGAGCAGCAGGGAAGAAATGGGGGGAGTGACACAGGCTGGGATAACTCCTGCGGAGCTGAAAAGTGGAATCAGGTAAAGAATGAATAAAGGCACCTTTGTCCCCATTCCTGCAGTCCTCTGCTGGTAATAGTTCAGATGGATTAAATGATCTGGTTCATTAGGATTTGGTTGAAAGAGACTGATAGAACAACAGGGAACACCGTAGTCAACTGAATATTTCCATCTCACTCTTTGATATAAAATATTAAAGTTTTGAAAGTGAGATATGCTATCACAAGACAGATACTGTTATGTTTTCAGCTGTATCACAGTTCAGATAATTCCTTGTCTTTTCTCCACCTCAGAAAACCAATCCCTTTTTATCAGTTATAACCCAACCACAATGTTCATTTAACAACTTAAATAGCAATATTAAAATGGCATGCCCTTTTAAATGGGAATGAACAATAATTCATAAATAAAAATGTAGAAGAAACCTCAAAGTTGCATTTTCCTATTTCTTGTTTTGATGTGTAACAATAACTTATAATTTAATTTCCCTGTTTTTTAACTAACAGAAATGGATATAACTTGCCATAAATGAGGTCTCAGTACAGCTAAATAAGTCTAAAAACCTAAATTGATCCAATACTTCTTTAAATTACACACTCTTAAATGGAAACTTGGCTCAGGTTTCTCCAACTTCATGAATTTTGATTGGCATATCTGTCCTTATAACAGACACTCTAAATCAAGAGGCCTTAACAGAAGTGTCCTTAACTATAACAGTCTTAAAAGCGTGACTGTCTGTGCCAGGTGAGCCAAACTCCAGCGTGTCTCTCTGAGGAAGCTGTAAGCTTCTGTGAGAGTGAAGAACTTGGGTTGTTTTGGATGTGTCTGCTGTTGTAAATAGTGTCAGCTTTTAAAAACCACATAAAACTAAGCAGGGGGGAAAAAAAAAAAAGTGGGATGTGTGTGCCTTAGCACTCCAGCATGGGTGAAATCTAACACTGGAGTATTGCCACTCACTTCAAAAGGGCCAGAATTTCCCCCTATATGATCCAAACTTACAAAAGTCTTCCAAAGGATTTTGAATTATACAGTATTACGCAACCTTTAACATCCGAGGGCCAAACACGTTATTTTGAAAGGTCAAAAGGACAAAACTGGGAGCAGTTGACTACCCTGCCCTATTCTCTTTACACTGCATAGGTAGGGCTCATTCAAAACATCCACTTTTAAAATCACAGGGCACACCTCAGTGTGCACGTTCTATTCATAACGCCGTATAAACCTTCTCCCTAGTTTAGTCGTCCTTAATTTAAGCCCTACCATTTAGGGCTTTGGGCCAGAGGTTACACACCAAAAGAAAAATCAGGGCCTGACTCTCGATGACTCAAACCCTTCACTTGGTGCTGGAACACTTCAGCGCTCCCTTGAATTTTTGGCACCGGGAATTTATGACCCAGATTCTGGGACACTGTACGGCCCCATCCTACTGCTGTCTGAATTAGGCCATTCACTGAGCTGCTCTCTCTCTGCTTCCTGCGGATCCTAGCAGAAAAGAAGGACTATAATGAAGCACACCGGACTGTCACTGAAGTGAAGTCCTGACACGGGCTGAGGAGTTTCAATAGACGAGGTATTCGAACAGGAAAATTTATGCCTCCTTTAAGGCACCTTCAAGCAATCAGAGCAACATTAAGGAAATACGGTAGAAGATTCACTTAGAAGTGAATTTCATTGCTTCCTGGATGGTTTTCAGGAAGTCTGTTTTTGGAATGACTGAAAGGAGAAGAAGGCATGACTTACGTGATTTTAGAAAAGGGCACTATGATGTCAAGAGTGTGCAATGCAGCCAGCAGCCTTTCAGCATGAAGAAAAGCATTACTTGCAGAAGATTTGCATTCTTTAAAGGATTTTTACACATCATATTCTGTTAATTACTAAGTTGTTAGTCCTTGTGAGAAGTCAATGCATGCTAGCAGACGGAAACTCACCTAGCTGACACGAGGAGCTTTTCTCCCTGTGTTCATCAGAAGCAGTAAAATACCTTATAAATGCAGACAAAATAGGAAGAACTAGCTGACTGTGGTATTTTTAAGTTTGGGTGAAAACGTCACTGGGATTATTTAACAAAGAAATAGGAAGAGACAATAAACCAAGTTATTTCAAAACACTCACTCAACAAAGAAAAAGATTCATTGTATGGACAGGGAAACTGCAAAAATCACCTCTGTTGTCTGGATATAACATGAGATCAGGTGCCAATAGTTTCTAATCCTGAAATATCTCAGCAGTGCTTCAAGTTCTCAATATCTGTATGTTTGGTAGCACGGACTCCACCTACACCGTAACCATGAGTCAGAAAAAGTACAATACTTCACAGCTCAAGCAGGGAGAAACTTTTCCTTGTACATGTGGAATGGCGAGAACACATTTTATTTTTTAATTCCCTTTAGTTGCTAAAAGGGGGGAAATACTTTGACTTGCCATTATGCCTTTACCCTTGGCTGGTGTATTTCCCTGTGAGATGAAGGAAGGTTGGAGGTGATGAAAGTTTACATAACGTAGCTAAGCATAAACTGCACCTTACGTAAAGATTAAAGCAGCAGGATCAGCACAGGGACGGCAGCGTCTGAGTTAGGCCAAGGCAGCCGGTTACCTGACGGCCACTTCTCCTGGAGGTTTGTTTTGTTCCAGGTTAATACTATTCGCGCTAAATATGTAACGTTTAAGCGTGGCTCTGTCTTGGCCTCTCCCGTTCCTTATGGCGATGCCGGCCAGGGAGGCGAGAGAGCCATTTACCCATCTCCAACCGGGATGCTGTACGCCATCCCAACCTGCGGGCGGCCGGGGGCTGTTTGTGCCATCCCGCTGTGCCAGTGCCACGGCAGTCGGAACCACCGGTACAAACACACCAGTATGACCACAAAGTGCCGGGCCTCGGCCCTCTCTCCGCGACGGAGAAGGCGCCCGGTTCCCCCTCCCACCCCCGCACCACCCCTTCCCCAGGTAACGCGCGTCCCTCCC